AGAGAGGAGAGGAGAGGAGAGGAGAGGAGCTATTGCATAGCAGATGCAAATGAAGGAACTTGGGACTAATCAGGAAGAGAAGGATAGGGAAAGAAGGAAAGAAAAAGGAAGTGATGGGAACCTCAGGAAGGGGTGTTAAGGACAACCGGAAAAATCTTCTAGTAATAAAACTACAAACAGACCAAATATATATAATATTATATATGTATAAATAACAGCTGGCTATTTACAGGGGGGCACACACACAGACACACACACATGGATCCAGGGGAGGGGGGCTGAAAGATATGGCTGAGAGGTGAAGGAACGTCTGGGGGTTGGGGAAGAGGCCCTTCTCTAGGCAGGGCAGACTCCTCAGGGATTTAAGTGCTGAAGTAAACTGTGAAGAGAGGGAAAGAAGACCAGGAACAGGGATGGGGGTGAGAGAAAAAGAGAAAGAAAGTAGTTGTGTCAGGCCTGGCCCTCCTCCAATCCTCCCCACTCCCCAGCTGGCTGACATCCCTTCCCCTCTTTTGGCATCAATTTCTCATCTGTAAGCAAGGGGGCTGGGTAGGTAGGTTCTGAGGTCCCCTTAATTCTACAGTATGACCCTACTCCTCAAGGCCTCTGAGACCACGAGATCTCAGTGGGATGCCTGGCTTCCTGGTCATATCCTAAAAAGTCCCTGGGCCTTTCCCCCACTGCCCAATTCCAGGGTTCCCAGACTGGGCTCTTAGGCACAAAGAGTCCTCCATAGGTACATCAGCTTTCCTATTTCCAAAATTTTAACAGAAGTTACCCAGAAAAAGGCAAACTGCAGGATAAACATCATCAAGGTTTTTGGCTCTAGATGAATTAGAACTGCCATTAGCAGCTATACATGCTTTTTGCTGAAGAGTAAAAACTAGGTTAATGACCTTCGATACCCAGAATCCACTGGGGAAACCTCTCCAGAGAATGGGCCCTAGCCACTCCTACCCCACTCACCGATGATGATGATGAGGATGATGGCGCAAATCACTCCCAAAATGATCATCATCTGGGGTTAAGAGGAGAGGGTTAGTGAGACAAGCCATGATACCCCCATTCACCCACCTGTCCTCCCACCTGTCCTCACCCTTACCTTGAGGTTTTTCCACCAGTATTTACGCTTGAGCTTGGCTGCACTTGTTTCAAACTGGGAGGCCCCTGCCTGGAGTGCATCTGCACGGTCGTCCAGCTCTGAAAGCTTCTGGTCCCGCTCCAGGACCTTGTCCACGTTCACCCTCATGATGTCCACCACCTGGAAGAGGGGCCCACGAGGCAGGGGGTGTGCCAAGGCCCGCCCCAACAAGGGCACTCCTCAAACACGTGCCCATTGTGCCACATAGGGAACATGCACCCTGATGCTGCCAGGCTAACATGCCAAGGACACACACAGAACATGCCTAGCACACCTGGGGACATGCAAGAAGCACACATCAGGGGCATGCAGATAGCCAGACATCTCAGATGTCATAGCAACACCCTCTATCTATCCAGTCTCAGGCCGTCTGTCCATCACTAGAGCACACCTGCCCAGGCTGGCACACCCCAGGCTAGCAAGGCTGATTAACATCCCAGTGCCCTTCCAACTGCGTGCTGAGAGGGAGAAAGGGATGGGGCATAGTATGTCTTTGTCCCCAAACTCACAAACATGAACTGTCATCACCCCCAACCCAAGATGGGCCCTCAGACCTGTTTGCCAACCCCCAGGGTCCGTCCCATTGCCTTTGAATCCCCCTACACTCACCTCGTCCACCTGGGCCTGGGTCTGCTGCAGTCTCCTATTACTGGTGAGGTTTGGAGGGGGTGCAGGGGGACCACCCTCCCCAGCTGGGGCAGCAGGGGGGGCGGTGGCAGCGGTAGCAGACCTGAGGAGTAGGGAGGGATTAAGACCCAGGACTTGGAGCCTCTGGCCCCGCAGCCAGGGCTCCGCCCATCCACCTGTCCATCCATCGTCCCTACCGTCTTTTTCGGAAGGAAGGCCACCGATGGAAGCCTTGGTCTCTGTTCAGCCCCACCACCAATGAGCTGCATGACCTTGAGCGAGCCCCCCTCCCCCTCCGGGACTCAGTTTCCCCGCCTGTCAAATCAGGGCGACCTCAGACAGGATCTGGGGTCGACCCGAAATGACAGGCAGCCGCGGCGACAGGGGTGGGGCGGTCAGACACTGGGTCTGTTCCCTCCCGCGGCCATCGCCAGTGCCGGGCAGCGCGGGACGCAGGGCTCCCCGGCCTCCCGCGCGCAGTCACGGGCGCCAGCCTGGCCCCGGGGCTCGGGGGACGCGGGGTGCGGAAGGGACCCCGGAGGGACCCCGCGTCTGTTCCCCAAGGGTGGAGGTGGGCGCAGGGAAGCGCGTGCGGGCGGCAATCGGCCGACTCACATGGCGGGGACAGCGGGCGGAGGACTTGGCAGCAGCAGTGATGGCGGCGGCAGCTGCAGCTCGCGCTGGCTCCGACTGGCGCTGGCTGCCCGGGACGGGAAGATGGCGGCCGCACGTCACCCGCATCCGGGCACTGCGGGCGGGGGCGGGGCGCGACAGGAGACTCCTTGGGAGCGGGGCCGCGGGGGCGGGGCTCGCTGGGCGGGGGTCGTGGAGGGCTAGGCAACCGGCCTCATGTCTGGTTGACCAGAGACCTCCCAGGGCACTAGCGCTACCCCAAGGCTGACTGCTGTGGCTCCCCCAACCCACCGCCACCCTGCCCTATCTTACCACAGCTATTCACAGCGCCCCCAAATCCTCTGCCACCTGGCACGCCGCAGACGGACCCCACACCTCATTCCCAGACCGCATCCTCCCGTATCAATCAACCGCATAAGCCAGACCGCACCCCATACAGGCCAGGGACCCAACACCAGATGACCTGCTTACAGCATTTAGGATGAGCAGGGGGTAGGAAATCAGAGGTGGCTTGTGCAGGTATGGGGGCAATGCGGACAGCTAGGACACTGCTGCTTCGGGTGGAGTAGAGCGGTGGGAGTTGCACTCACCCCACCACCTGAGAATTCATCACTTGAGAATTCAAGTGGAATTTTCAGAGGTCTGGGGCCCCTGGTCAATGAGTAGGGGGGTATGAAGAAAAGGAGAGGAAGTAGTTTCTTTCGCCCTAACCAAGTCCCAGAAAGGGCTGCAGAGTGTGAAAGCTGCCTCTCCTCACAAGTGAAATACAGACCAGGGGTACTTGGCAGGCAAAGCTGGAGCAGGTCCTGCTCAGGCTGGGCAAGCGAAGGACCCCAGGGATGAGGGCATGAGGTTGTCCCATGAGGCCACTTCACTTGGTGGCTGCTGGCTGGCCAAAACCTAGCTTTGCTTCCAGATTTGGATAGCAGCCCTGGCTATAGAAGAGGGTTCAGCTTTCGATCCCAGGCGCAGGGCCTAGGCCAATAAGATAGGCTTGCTTTTTTTTTTTTTCTCTCTCTTTCTTTAAAAGAGAGAAGGACAGTGGGCAAGTACAGCAAGGTTATATGGTGCTACTTTACTGAGGATTAGCATCACATATGTGATCTTTGACAGTTCTTCCCTTCCTCTCTGGACCCCAAGTAAGTTACATATGCAGGCACTAAATATATAATAGTGCATATTTGTTAAATGGATTGATCTGGATAACATTGTAGCAGATTGTCCACAGCTTGGTCCATCTCTGACTGGTCTCCATTTAAGGGAGGGAACTCTAAACAAACGCAGCAGCTGTACACCCTCCCACCCAGTTTGTCAGAGAAAATGGAACCAGAGCAGCTGTCTATCTGGTGGGGTGGGTCAAAGCAAACCTCAAGGGGGAAGGAGGCATTTTAGGAGAGGCCTAGTAGCTCAGGGTGGGTGCTTCCTACATCCACAGAAGTGGAGGAGGAAGGTTGGTGGCCTTGATCTCTGAGACAAACAGGAGACGGCTTCTTCCCTCCCCCACCCAGGATTCTCAGAGCCTCAGATGTGAGATACTCCTCCATTGCAGTGCCCCACCCCCTCCCAGCAGAAGCCCAGGGATGGCTGTGTCACCAGAGGTGTCATTTCCCAGCTGTCTGGAGGTGGTGAGTGAGCAGGGAGTGTGCGTGCTGGGTGTGGGGACTCAGCCAGATCTAAGATAAAATACTTTTGGCTCCCTCCTCCTCCAAGGGGCAGCCAGATCCCCATCCTTGTGCTCTAGCACACAATGTCTGGGGTGGCTCAGCCTATGTGTTGAGCAAGAAAAGAGCAGCTTCCATGGGGTCTCAGATCATGCTGTGGGGTGCTGGCTCTTTACTTTCTAGTCAGAGAACAAAGATACCAAATTCCAGCTTTTTTAAGTTTAAAAGCCTCAGTGTCTGGGCATGAGGCAGGTAGGATTGGAAGGAGGAGGTAGGCCCAGAGAAAGCCCCCATCCCCACCCCTCACATGTGTAGGGGGAAACCTAGTGCAGGACCAGGCAAGATGTTAGATACTGATTTAGGGGTGGTGTGGAAGGGAGAGGGTCCTAGGCAAATCTGAGGAGCTGAGGCCATGGGATGTGGCTTGGAAGTCTGGCACACTGCTGTTACTCTTAGCTCCTGGGATGGCAGCAGCAAAGTAGAAAAGAGAGCACACATGGCCCGTGGAGGTGGGGGGCCCAGGAGGAGTCATTTCAGAGAGAGGGCTCCCACTGAGCAACCCCTCCCTACCTTATCTAGTGCCAAGAAACACCCCAAATTTAGATCAGTGGTGGAGCGGGATGACTGGGTTCACCTGGAAATGGATAAAAGAGTGTTTTCTGTAAGCAGGTAGAATGAAGACCCCATATAGAGGTCAGCTGAACATAGAAAAATAATGTATTTGGATAAGAGAGATGTGGCATCTGCATTTACCAGCTGTGGGATTGGCCCACTCCCAGGGCTCATTCAAAGGATGGAGAGAGCTTAAGGTGATTCTGTTGTAGGCAACTGAGACCAACCAATAAAGCCTCAATAAAAGCTTTATTTTTTATTTTTTTGAGACAGGGTGTCACTGTGTCACCCATAGTAGAGTGCTGTAGCATCACAGCTCACAGAAACCTCCAACTCCTGGACTCAAGTGATTCTCCTGCCTCTGCCTCCCAAGTAACTGGGACTACAGGTGTCCACCACAACACCTGGCTATTTTTTGGTTGCAGCTGTTATTGTTGTTTGGCAGGCCGGGCTGGGTTTGAACCCACCAGCTCAGGCGTATGTGGCTGGTGCCTTAGCTGCTTAAGCCACAGGCACCAAGCCAATAAAGGCTTTATTTTATTGGTTTTTCCTCTTCAATTACTGGTTTAGAAGATAGAGTAGAAAGAGGCTGGGTCATTCCCACACTGACTCATGAACTTGCTCCTCCCAAATGAGTCAAACCTGACTGAACTAGTAATTAAAATCAGGGATCTTGTGTGTCCCTCAACACAGCTTGTAAAGACAAGGTTCTAAACCAGGTGCAGTGGCTCATGCCTGTAATCCTAGCACTTTGGGAGGCTGAGGTGGGTGAATTACTTGAGCCCAGGAGTTAGAGACAAGCCTAAGAAATAGTGAGATCCCATCTCTACTAAAAGTAGAAAAATTAGCCAGGCCTTGTGGTGGGTACCTGCAGTCACATGGGGAGGCTGAGGCAAGAGGATCTCTTGAACTCAGGAGTTTGAGGTTGCTGTGAGCTATGATGATGCCATGGCACTCTAGCCAGGGTAACAGTGAGACTTGGTCTAAAAAAGAAAGAAAAAGAAGGAAAGAAAGAAAGAGGGAAGGGGAGGGGAGTGGAGGGAAGGGAAGGGAAAAAGAAAACGAGAAAGGGAAGGGAAGGGGAAAGGAAAGGGAAAAAATACAATACATCTCATCAATAAAATAAAAAACAAAGACCATATGATTCTCTCAATTGATGCAGAAAAAGCCTTTGATAATATCCAGTACCCCTTCATGATCAGAATTCTTTTTTTTTTTTTTTGAGACCGAGCCTCAAGCTATCCCCCTAGGTAGAGTGCTATGCACTCACAGCTCACAGCAACCTCCAACTCCTGGGCTCAAGCGAGTCTCCTGCCTCAGCCTCCCAAGTAGCTGGGACCGACCACAGGCGCCCGCCACAACGCCTGGCTATTTTTTGGTTGCAGCCATCATTGTTGTTTTTGGCAGGCCTGGGCTGGATTCGAACCCGCCACCTTAGGTGTATGTGGCTGGCGCCTTAGCTGCTTGAGCCACAGGCGCTGAGCCCATGATCAGAATTCTTAAGAAAATAGGCATAGAAGGGACATTTCATAAACTGATAGAGGCCATTTACAGCAAACCCACAGCCAATATCATATTGAATGGTGTAAAATTGAAAACATTTTCACTCAGATCAGGAACGAGGCAAGGATGCCCACTGTCTCCACTGCTATTTAACATAGTAATGGAAGTCTTAGCCATTGCAATCAGGCATGAGAAGGTGATCAAGGGTATCCAAATAGGGTCAGAGGAGATCAAACTCTCACTCTTTGCTGATGACATGATCCTATACATGGAAAATCCCAGGGACTCAACTTCAAAACTTTTGGGGGGGGGCAGTTTTTGGCCGGGGCTGGGTTTGAACCCGCCACCTTCAGCATATGGGGCCAGCATCTTACTCCTTTGAGCAATAGGCACTGCCCAACTTCAAAACTCTTAGAAGTGATCAAGGAATACAGCATCTCAGGATACAAAATCAATACTTACAAGTCAGTAGCTTTTATATACACCAACAATAGTCAAGCTGAAAAAAAAATCAAGGACTCTATTCCTTTTATAATAGTGCCAAAGAAGATGAAATATCTGGGAATTTATCTAACAAAGGACGTGAAAAATCTCTATAAAGAGAACTATGAAACTCTGAGAAAAGAAATAGCTGAAGATGTTAACAAATGGAAAAACATACGATGCTCATGGCTGGGTAGAATCAACATTATTAAAATGTCCATACTACCCAAAGCAATCCCTATTAAAGCACCATTGTCATACTAGGGATTTAATGCAATCCCTATTCAAGCACCATTGTCATACTTTAAAGAACTTGAAAAAATAGTACTTCATTGTATATGGAATTAGAAAAAAACCTCGAATAGCAAATACATTACTCAGAAATAAGAACAAATCAGGAGGTATCACATTACCAGACTTCAGGCTATACTATAAATCTATAGTGATCAAAACAGCATGGTACTGGCACAAAAACAGAGAGGTAGATTTATTGAACAGAATAGAGAACCAAGAGATGAACCTGGCTACTTATTGTCAGGTGATCTTCGACAAGCCTATCAAAAGCATTCAGTGGGGGAAAGACTCCCTATTTAATAAATGGTGCTAGGTGAACTGGCTGGTGACTTGTATGTAGAAGACTGAAACTGGACCCCCACCTTTTACCACTAAGAACAATTGATTCTCACTGGATAAAAGATTTAAACTTAAGATATGGAACTATAAAAATACTAGAAGAGAGTGCAGGGAAAACACTTGAAGAAATTGGCCTGGGAGAATATTTTATGAGGAGGACCCCCTGGGCAATTGAAGCAGCACCAAAAATACATTACTGGGATCTGATCAAACTAAAAAGCTTTT